GGGAGGGGCAGGGAGAGGCGGGGCCAGGGGTCCTGAGGGAGGGAGGGGCAGGGAGAGGCGGGGCCAGGGGTCCTGAGGGAGGGAGGGGAGGCGCTAGGGGTCCTGAGGGAAGGAGGGGCAGGGAGAAGCGGGGTGGTTGAAGGCAAAGGCATTCCAAGGGAGGGCCTCCAACAAGACCAAAGTATCCCGCTGCCCTGTCCACCCGCTCAGACTGGACCTTCTAGAACATTCCATGGAGGGCACTACCAGGTTGAGTCCTGAAGAGCCAGCCTAGCCAGCAGGGTGGGTGAAGGTTCCATGAAGGGCGTGAAGGTTCCAGAACGGAGGACTCCAGGCTCCCACCCCGGGAAGGTTCCAGGAGGGCCCTGCTGGCCGGACGAGGCACTGCTGGGGGAACGCGGCCTTGGGACGTGCGCTGGGCAGAGGTCCAGGCGACTCCCCCATCCACACCCGGAACCACTCAGGGTCCTGCAGGGGCAGTGCAGGCCCCACCCAGACAGCCCGCCACTGCTGCCCTGGGCACTCGGGTCACAGAGTGGACCTGGACACCCCACTGACCCCGGCTGGCCACGGGACCACCGAAGGCTATCAGCCCGACACGACAAGAGAGATCGTCTGAGGATGGAGAAGAGAGAAGGAAAGGCAGAGCGCTTCCCTGTGTGTGCCTGCTTCGGACCTGACAGACACCCTGCCCTCAGTCCCTCCCTGGACGGGACCCCGCCGTGAAGCCGTCAGACCCCCTTGGGGCCTCGGTCACCTCTGGCGCCCTGAAAATGTATCTTGCCACCACCTGCAAATAGCTCCTGGAGCCTGGCCTCTGCCCTCCAGGTTGCAGTCTGGCCAGCGCCTGTCCTCCAGCCCTTCCGCGTGTCGGGGCTGAGCCCCAGGACGCCCCAGGCCCGCCCGAAGGCTGCCAGGTCTCCACCCTGGACGCCACCTGAGGATGAGAGCTCGGGAGCCGGCCATTCTCGCCCCCTCACCCTGAGTGTGCCCCACTCGGGGCCTGCAGGTGCTGTCCGGCCGCTCGGGCCGGTTGGCTGGAGGTGGGTGACCCGCAGGGCAGCCAGGGACGGGGTCCTGCGAAGGGGGGCTGACCCCAGGACTCTCGTTTTAGGCAAAGGGAGGAGTCGTGAACTCAGAGCTGGCGGCGGGGCACCGTCCTGAGCCGCCAGGGAGGAGGACACCAGGTGGACTTGCTCGAGGGCAGCCCCTGGCCCAGGACCGGGGGAAGGAAGGCAGCGGCCCTGGAGCCGCCCTCGGGGACCCGGGCGGGGCTGGCGGTGTGCCGCGCGGATGCTCCCGGGCTCGCCTGGA